AAAAAACTAAGTTGATTCGCACTGATTAGCGTTCGGAAGAATTGTACAGTCGAAGTGAAGAGCCGCTTTGAGCGGTCGCATTTATACCGAATTTTGAAAAGGCTAAGACGCGAGTGGATTGGACCAGCGAAGCAAAGCAAAAAACGGTTATTGCCACGAGAGCGAGTCTACATTACCTTATTTGGGCATTAGTCGAATGACAAGAGCTTTTCGCGGCGCGAGCCGCCCGCCGATTCGCGGAATCCTTGTTTATTCGATCCGTTGCTATGACGATCGCTCGGATCCTTACGCCGGCTGACGGCTCGCTAGCATCGCGATGCTGGGATCGCACGTGATACGAACGTGCGATCAACATCGAAAGGACAAAGTGAGTCGCTTGTGTGCCGAATTAGAGCATCGAATTATGTTTGTTTCAATTATGTTGTATAAATGCTTGCCGCAGCGGTCACCGGTCCCGCTGACGTGAGTTTAACCGTCGAGGTTGTTCGAATCTCGAACAGTTGCGAATGTGCACGCGACACAGAGCAAACAGGACATGATCTCCTCGACAAATTTGCGGGTATCACAACTTCTTCCTTTTATGGAAATACGTGCCTTCTAATAGTGGAATGTCTTAAAGGAACGACTTGCGACAATGTGCAAGAACCGACAGTTAGCGGCACAAGCGGTGCAATAGTGCGGCGCTTTGCATCTCCGGTTTTCCTTCAAGTTCCCGAGCCAGTGCGAGGACAAAATGAGAAATCTGTGCTTTCGTTTATTGAGGAGTACGACGTTGTTTTGCTGCATGTGACGCTTCCATTATAGAAATATTATACCAAGAAATACTGAAAAATTATTAGTGATTAAATATTACCAGTAATTCAGTAATTTTTTGGCCAATACTTAATCTCTGGTGAATACTGATCATAAAATCACTGTTAAATATTGATAGTAATCAAATACTGAGAATTATTATGCGAAGGTGAAAAATGAGAAAATAATAATGTTTACAAAAATATACTTATATTCCTAATTTTCTTATGTCTCATAAACTACTAGAGATATCGAAGGTTGTCAACACATTCCAAACTTTCATGAATCCTCCTGCGATAATTTCGATCCCAAGCGGTATACCACTGGTCACCATCCATGTCCTGACCGCATTAAACTGTTGCTTAACCTGACGATCGACGCGCACGCGGTGACTCTGATGACTCCAACAATGTTCTTACAATTCATGCTTATATAATGTATACTTATATTGTTCACAGTATATGATAACATACCTAGCAAACACCAAATAATAGTTATATAATTTTTACTTGTTGTTTATTGGATAATTTGTTGATAGGTATTAAAACAATGCAACATTCGATATGCGATGAATATTGATGTAATGTAGTGAACTAGTGATAATTACTTTTATATTTTTAACAAAATATTATAATGATTAATCCAACAAAAAAAAATTAAAAAATTCAAGAAAATCCAAATTAAACAAACTGAATTACTAAATTTTGAGAAAAACTTTTAAAAAATATTATTTAAAGCAATAGTGTTGTTTCATCAAACGACATGGTTTCCTTGAACGAAAACCTCCGCGACCGGAACACTTGCCCTCCCTCTTCTCTAAGAAAGGAGACCACTGCTGCGACGCCGGCGGCCGGTGGTGGGTGTAACGTCCCAGCCCCATAAAACTTCAATTTTTCGCGATTATTACAGTATATAAACTCCGCGATAACCAGAGGCCGATTCGTGCTGACCTGAGACATAGAACGCCGTATGAACCAAATAGTATACTCAGATACTTCGAAGCGCTATATGAGAAGTCACGATATCAATAGACAAGGACAGAATATATTTTAGGCAAATTGATTCGTAGTAGAAATGATCAAGAATTTAAAAGGTACGTTAAAGATAATAATCCAAATTCTACAATATCATGAGCTCTCATAGAATAAACTATATGCGATATTATAATTAGTTATTATAAGTTTTATTGTATTTAAAAATAAGGAATCTTACTAATTCACTCGTCAAAAACGGCCAAGGATAAAATCAGACTATTACAGAAATGAAGTATTCATATAACCACTCAAAGGGCCATACATGACGAAGGAATTGGTAGCAAATTCAAATAATATTGAATATTCGCATAGCGAACTCGCTAGGACACGAACAAACGCATTTAGCATGATGTCATCGCGTCGCTATGCATCACGCCACCGGACATCACGTCATCCAGCCACCCGCACACAGTACCGAGAAGCCGAAGCGCGGTGAAATCCCTTTGGAAAAGACCGACTCGGGACCACCGTGCCACTCTAGGATTCGGCGCTGCAGCCCGACCGCCGTCGGAAGCCGCCGGAACCGAACGAAGCCCCGTTAGAAACCCTATAAAAGCCGTACCCCCAGAGCGCCCGGGGCAGTTCCGCAAAATTTTTCATAAGTCTTAAACGTAATTTCCGACGTAGTGCAGTTCTACACACAGTCTTACACATCTTGCACTCGTTCATCTGCCGAACTCAACTCATACACTTAAAAAATACACTTCAACCTTTGTACTAATTTCTCTCACCGACCCGTTGCTAAAAAGCATTTGTTCGGGAGATCGTATACACAAATACACAAGTTAACGACTTTACATCGGGGACGACTCCGAGATCTGCTATTTCCAAAGTGCCCATCGCCTACTACAATAAGACGATCATCCGGGCCCTTATATTGACAGCCAGCCAACACTGTGAACCCATACGAGCGTGTCCTGGCGAGTTACTATTATATCGACACATTACTGCGATTACCAATCGTAAGTCCTACTGCGTATATACATCCTAGCATTTAGAATACTCACACCATAAACTATAAGAGATTTATTACCGGCAATATATATTATATTTTATCTTAGTCTTACGATTATTATAATCACTTGGCAACACATAGCCTTCGAATATTTGATACAATACTACTATTCTAGCATAAATACCGGTCTCAAAACCTTTTTAGTATTCGCTCTCGTCTCCCATATCAAGTTACAACATATTCTCTTAAGGGCGATTTCGCTAGTTCCTATCTAGCCTTACCTCGCGTATATCCTTTGACCACCGGACTTCTCAGACTGAACTGTCTGTCGAAGACCTATTATACACAATTTTATATATTACACTACATTATTATATCACACTTTAAGATAAAATATATTGACATTATACTCAAATTCTATAGTCATATGATTCAAGTTCCTTTCTACCTGATCCAGTTAGTATAATTTTATAATCTCTAAGGACGATCTATTATCTTACATCCCTAACCCACTCACGAACATACATATATACACTTTACTGCAGAGCTGCGGTAGTCCTAGTGTCTACCATATACGCCTTCGTAATAGCGTTTCTTTCTCTCTCTATCTCTGCTTCAGGTAGCTTAACTGCTCCTGGCAGATTCTTTTGCTTATAATACAGAGCTCTGACAGTTTCGGCAGCGTCTCGTATGCTACGGAACTTAATTATTAAGACAGCGAATTGCAGAGTAGCGCGTGATGAGGATTTCCTAAGCGTGGGATTTCTGAACGAGACTCTGACAGAGCTCCTTGATTGTTGAGCCTTATTAAGAACACACTAAACCCAAACTGAATTTACCATCCTAACATTCCAGATCCATAATTCAAAACCTACTTCGATCGTTCTTATAGACTTTTGCTTTTTATTAACTTTTACTTTATCGTATTATTCAAATAAATCTTCAATATATTGATTATCTCTTTATTAATTATTAAAGAACGAATA